GGAAATGACATTTTTTGGGGGTGTTCAAGTTCGCTGTGATGCTTTGAATTTTACATAAAATTACAGTGGTTGCATTGCAAAGGAAAGGCGACTTTTAATACGTTTAAATAATCTGGCTGGTCTAGCAATTGCACATGCTATATTTTTTTAATTTCCTAATTTGTTCCACGAAAAAGTGGAGTAATCATTCAATTCATTCAAAGTGTGATAGAGCTGAAAATTGGCCTCGAATGGAAGGGGGTGAAAGTGTCCGGACTTAAAGTGGTTAAAGTCAGATGCACAGAATTGTATCGCAGTCCACCAGACAATCCATTATAAGCAGAGTCCCACGGTATATCAGTCTGCACAGATTGTGAAGTCAAATGCCCAATGGCAATCCATAATGGGCACTTGTCCCACCCTCATAGAGAGTGTCCCAACTCTAGGTGCTAAACCGATTTTACCACATCACGGTGGCTACATCAAGAGACCACCGAGAGACAGAAGGATGACAAAGCTGCCTTAATTGCTTGCAAATCAGATGAGTGAAATAAACAAGCCCATTAAATATTCAATACACATTTCTCCTGGATAATATACAGCAGCCATTCTCAATATAAGATAAAATAAAACTTTTTTTGGTCAAAAAAAGTAAAAAAAAATGCCAGTTTGCCACGATTTACCACATTTTTCAGCGCTGGAGCGTTTTTACAGCTAAAAAACTCCTCTAGAAACCCACTAGTCCCGGGTTGTTTTTTCCCAGCCAAAAAACGTCCCAGCCAAAAAACGTTGATTGCAGTCTATGTGTGCACCTAGGATAGCATGCTGGGGGGGTTACTGGCTGTTGAAAAAAACATCAAAAGCCAAAAACAGGCGCTGTAAAAACGTCTAGTGTGCGTGAGGACAAAAAGTGGGATATGAAACCTATCAATGGTATGTAAATATGGCGCCACAGAGACTACATACAAACAAATCCCTGGACTCATTTAGTTGGTAGCGATGTGGATCGTAATCATCAATGGATAATACAACCCTGGTGAGTGGAGTATCATTATAGCCAACATTTTCAAATCTAAGTTCTCAAATTCTTATCCTGTAAGTAGGGGCGGACTGACCATTGGGAAACTTGGGCACTGCCCGAGGGCCCGGGGTCAGTAGGGGGCCCCATGAGATGCCCCTGGTACCTTTCTCATAGGCTTTTTTGAGTTTGGGCAAGGACACATGGGCCCCATGATCCCCTATTGCCCGGGGGCCCCATGAGTTGTCAGTCCGCCCCTGCCTGTAAATGAAAGTCCAAAAGATCATGGATATCAACAATGAGATGGTTTGAAATATGAACTCAATACGTAGTCAAAAGTTCATCAGGTTCAGTTGCATTGACCTAGACAGCATGACCACATAATTGGTACCGGCAACCTCCGGAGGTTGAGTTCCTTGAGCTATGACTGGTGGACCTCCCATCTGAAGGTGCCACTTGAAGATCCAGTGGTATGACGCCAATCATTTTTTTTATTTGTCTGTAAGGGTGTAATTCGTAAGGGGGAAGTTCTGCCCACTGACCACCAGTGCAAAAGACATTTGTCTATCTCACCCGATTAATTTTTTTAGCCGGGGTTCCCTTAGACGTAATGATAACTTCAAGGATTTTATAAAGTGAGATAGTTGAGAGACAGCTTGTAGAGTTGAGCATGGGCATCCTCCGAACACATCTCTAGCCAAACTCGGAACTAGGGTTGCCACCTCATCCACATACACGGGTTCTGAGGCTAATTTAATGCAGATAAGGCACTGAGTTTAATTACCACCCTAATCAGCAACAGAACCCGTGTCATTAGTATGTGTTCGGTTTTAAAGGGATGAGGTGGCCATCCTACTCGGAACTTGCCCCCTTTTTTATTCTAATGAGCTACGAGTTGGGTCTTGGAGATAAAAGACATCACAGTGACTATGGAGGAAGAGGACAAACATGACGATGGAGGAAGAGGACGGACATGATGAGGAGTTGCTGGATGTAAATATAAAATAAGATCTTATTACCTCCTCTGCTACCAGTTCCACCAATGTCTCCTCTCTACTTCCCTCCAGTTGACCTTTCACCTGGAGAGTCCTGTTTTGTATCCTACCTCATTTCCTGTCTGCACATCCAAAGTGAGATCGCCACCACGTGTTGAATATAAATACTGCAGTCTACTTTACGTTTCTTCATCTTGTCCCGCTGCTTTGTGGACCATTTCTCCACTATGTTATATTTATGATTACACATGTAGATTGTAGTTCAATTATATAATTATAATGAAAAACGATATTAAATAAAGGAAATCAAATTCTAAACTGAAACACATAATTTGTATATTCAAAATATTGCCAAAAGTATCGGGCCGCCAGCCTTTCCACGCACATGACCTTTAATGGCCTCCCAGTCTCAGTCCCTAGGGTTCAATATTGAGTTGGCCCCGCCCTTTCAGCTATAACAGCTTCAACTCTTCTGGGAAGGCCGTCCACAAGGTTTAGGAGGGTGTCTATGGGAAGGTTGGACCATTCTTCCAGAAGCACATTTGTCAGGTCAGGCACTGATGTCGGGGGAGGAGGCCTGGCTCGCAGTCTCCGCAATAATTCATCCTAAAGGTGTTCTATGGGGTTGAGGTCAGGACTCTGTTCAGGCCAATCAAGTTCCTCCACCCCAAACTGGCTCCTCCAAGTCTTTATGGACCTTGAGAGAAGAGTTTCCTTCACTGGAACTAGGGGGCCAAGCCCAACCCCTGAAAAACAACCCCACACCATAATCCCCCCTCCACCAAACTTTACAATTGGCATAATGCAGTCAGGCAAGTACTGTTCTCCTGGCAATCGCCAAACCCAGACACGTCCATCGGATTGCCAGACAAAGAAGCGTGATTGGTCACTCCAGAGAACACGTCTCCCCTGCTCTAGAGTCCAGTGGCGGTGTGGTTTACACCACAGCATCCGACACTTTGCATTGCACTTGGTGATGGAAGGCTTGGATGCAGCTGCTCGGCCATGGAAACCCATTCCATGAAGCTCTCTACACACTGTTGTTGGGCTCATCTGAAGGCCACACCAAGTTTGGAGGTCTTTAGCTATTGACTCTGCAGACAGTTGGCGACTTCTGCGCACTCTGCGCTTCAGCATGCGATGACCCCGCTCTGTCATGTGATGTGGCCTACCACTTGGTGGCTGAGTTGCTATTGTTCCCAGTTGCTTCCACTTTGTTATAATCCCACTAACAGTTGAGCGTGGAATATTTAGTAGCCAGGAAATGTCACAAATGGACTTATTGCACAGGTGGCCACCTATCACGGGACCACGCTTGGAGCCACTGAGCTCCTGAGAGCGACCCATTCTTTCACCAATGTTTGTAGAAGCAGTCTGCATGCCAAGGGCTTGATTGTATACACCTGTGTCCATCTAGGGGATTGGAACACCTGAATCACATGATTTGGAGGGCGGGGCCAATACTTTTGGCAATATAGAATATATATATTCTCTGACAGCTCTCCTCCCCCCCCATCCACACTACATTCTCTGACAGCTCTCCTCCCACCATCCACACTACATTCTCTGACAGCTCTCCTACACCATCCATCACACTACATTCTCTGACAGCTCTCCCCCCCCCCACCATCCACACTACATTTTCTGACAGCTCTCCTCCATCATCATCCATACTACATTCTCTGACAGCTCTCCCCCCCCCCCCCCCCCACTATTCTCTGACAGCTCTCCTCCCCCACCATCCACACTACATTCTCTGACAGCTCTCCTCCACCATTCATCCACACTACATTCTCTGACAGCTCTCCTCCCCCCACCATCCACACTACATTCTCTGACAGCTCTCCTCCCCCCACCATCCACACTACATTCTCTGACAGCTCTCCTCCCCCCACCATCCACACTACATTCTCTGACAGCTCTACCCCCCACCATCCACACTACATTCTCTGACAGCTCTCCTCCACATCCACACTACATTCTCTGACAGCTCTACCCCCCACCATCCACACTACATTCTCTGACAGCTCTACCCCCCACCATCCACACTACATTCTCTGACAACTCTCCTCCACCATCCACACTACATTCTCTGACAGCTTCTCCTCCCCCCACCATCCACACTACATTCTCTGCATTCTGTGGGCTATATCTATATACATTTTTCTTTAGTAGAATACACAATAGGCAGACAAGGATTCAGTTATTGTTTTTGCAGTTTTCTTTATTGCTCGCACTGTTCATTTGTTGTCTTTGTATTGGAAGAATAGTCCATATATTGTCACACAATTTTTTGAGTATTATGGAGACTATACCCCAATGAGAATCCTTTTTCTAGGATGTACCCCTTGATATCTTCATTCTTTAAAATATTGTCCTTTGAAAAGCACTTTCACCTGTTAAAAGCGAACATATATTTGTCAGCAGGTGTGTACTGGAATATTGAGTTAGACTTCCTCCATGCATAAACCACGTTCCGCACTATTGCTATGACAAAAGGGCGATCATTGAGTATCTTTTCTGAAGTTTACAGTTTTTATTCTCATTAAAACATTTCCCACACCCTTAACATGAAAAAGGACCCTCACCCATGTGTTTTTTCTTATGTTTAATAAGGTAGTCTTTCCTTGAGAAACATTTCCCACACTCTGAGCATGAGAAAGGACGTTCACCTGTGTGCATTCTCTGATGTATAACAAGTTTTGCTTTATCGCGAAAACATTTCCCACACTCTGAACATGAATATGGGGGCTCACTGTTGTGAGTTTTCTGGTGTGTAGCAAGCTCTGCTTTTTGAGCGAAACAATTCCCACACTGTGGACATGAATATGAACATTCATCTGTGTGAATTCTTTGGTGTATATCAAGTTTTTCTTCGTTGCAGAAACATTTCCCACACTCTGAACATGAATGGGGATGTTTACTCTTGTGAGTTTTCTGATGTGCAACAAGGTCTCCTTTTTGAGTGAAACATTTCCCGCACTCTAAACAGGAAAAAGGACGCTCGCCTGTGTGAATTCTCTGGTGCATAATAAGATTTCCTTTCTGACTGAAACATTTCCCACACTCTGAACAGGAAAAAGGACTCTCACCCGTGTGAATTCTCTGGTGTGTAAGAAGGCTTCCTTTCTCAGTAAAACATTTCCCACACTCTGAACAGGAAAATGGACGCTCACCAGTATGAATTCTCTGGTGCTTAAGAAGGCTTCCTTGCTGAGTGAAACATTTCCCACACTCTGCGCATGAGAAAGGACGCTCGCCTGTGTGAATTCTCTCATGGGCAAGGAGGTGTTGCTTTGTATTGAAACATTTCCCACATTCTGAACATGAGAAAGGATGCGCGCCTGTGTGATTTCTATGGTGCATAAGAAGGTCCCATTTCTGAATGAAACCTTTCCCGCACTCTGAACATGAAAAAGGACGCTCACCTGTGTGAATTCTGTGATGTTTAACAAGGCTGTCTTTCCTTAAGAAACTTTTCCCGCACTCTGAACATGTGAAAGCACGCTCCCCCGTGTGACTTCTCTGGTGTACAAGAAGGTCTCCTTTCTGAGTGAAGAATTTCCCACACTCTGTACAGGAAAAGGGACGCTCGCCCAGTATGAATTCTCTGGTGCAGAAGTAATTTTCTTTTCTCAGTAAAACATTTCCCACACTCTGTACATGCATAGGAGTGCGCACTCTTTCCACACTCTAAACATGACAATGAATTGTCTGCTATTTGACCTTCCCCATGGCTTAAAAAGGATTCCTTGCGATTAGATGAACCTGTCAATCTATTCACACTGTGAGGTTTTAGACGAATAAGTAAAGTCAGGTTATGTGAACGATCAGTGGATTCCTCAGGATTAGAGGGATCCATTGGTGTCTCCAAGTGACACGGTCTGTGATGTATACCTTGACTTAAGGAATTTGTTCTTGAAGATAATATCGTCCTGTTGTCTTGTGCATAGTCTGGGAATAAAGTACGATCTCCCGCTGAGGTATTTATATTCCATACACAGAGTCCATCTGTGGGGAAAGAATTATTAAATAAATGTTATATCAATTCTTCACATCTTACATTCATCACTCTTATAGTTTGATGTAACAGTTAACCACTTCACAGACCTGACATTGTATTAGGAGCAATCATAGCAGAAAAGTATGAATACAAACCATGGAAAGGGGACAATATACCCGAACCACATGGAGTAACAGGGTTTTGTAAATCGATGACATTATATTGAGGAATGGAGATGGACCTTTCATATGGTGTCCAGTATCTCCTCCTCATTGGTTGGGAACATGACGTCATATTGATGAATGGAGATGGACCTTTCATATGGTGTCCAGTATCTCCTCATTTTTTGGGAACATGACGTTATATTGAGGAATGGAGATGGACCTTTCATATGGTGTCCAGTATCTCCTCCTCATTGGTTGGGAACATGACGTCATATTGATGAATGGAGATGGACCTTTCATATGGTGTCCAGTATCTCCTCATTTTTTGGGAACATGACGTTATATTGAGGAATGGAGATGGACCTTTCATATGGTGTCCAGTATCTCCTCCTCATTTGTTGGGAACATGACGTTATATTGAGGAATGGAGATGGACCTTTCATATGGTGTCCAGTATCTCCTCATTTGTTGGGAACATGACGTTATATTGAGGAATGGAGATGAAGCTTTCATATGATGTCCAGTATTTTCCCCTCAATATTTGGGAATATGATGTGTAGAATTTGAATAGATAGCAGATAGCAGTTTTCTAATTTACTTTCCTACTTACTTGTGTCCATATGTAGAGAAGATTCCTCCTGTTTACTTTTTATAATCTCCCCCTCTTCCACAGGCAGCTGAGCTCCACCTACCAACACCTCTTCTTCTTTAACCTCAGCTTTGATGTCTTTCAGTTCTTCACCCTAAACCCAAAGATCATGAAATATAGATATATTAAAATACAAAAGAATGTCCTTTCATAGCTTAGAATACATTTTTAGGACTACATCTACCTGATGCTGGTGAGGGATGGTGTGATCTTCCTGTGTGGAATCCCGGGAATACAGAGGACGGGGACATCTCTCTGGTGGGTTCCCATGACTGGATCCATCTGTAGGAAACACACACACTGACTGAATCCATTGTTTCTATGTGTTTATAAGATGATGGGGGATCTAGGTGGACCCTCCGTACTGCTCTCTCCTTTACAATAAAGTCTCATCTTACCCGGTGATGTGAGGGGCGGCTGATTGTCTATCATGATGTCCTTACAAAGATCATCTCACCTAATGAGGTGATGATCTACAGTATATATCCCCAATCATCAATCCATATACCAAAACGGTTTCTGTATTTAGTGTTTATTACTCACCAGTGCTGATATCTAGAGAAGACTCCTCCTGTTTGATTGTCACCATCGTCTTAATTTCCTCCGTAGTTCGCTGATAATTCATCACAGATGTCTCCTTTTCTTGCTTTTTAACCTCAACTTTTATATACATCTGTTCTTCATTCTGAACCAACATTATAAAAAAGTACAATCTTCAAAATGTGAGGACTGATAGGCAGATATAACAGTGTAATCTCATAAATCTGGAGTCACTGTTGCGTTCTACCCACCTACCTTATGATGGTGGGGGATGGTGTGACCTTCCTGTGTGGAATCCCGGGAATAAAGAGGACAGGGACATCTCTCTGGTGGGTTCCCATGACTGGATCCATACTAGGACGGAGATATCTCTCTGGTGCGGTTCCCATGATGGTGGGGGGGATGGTGTGATCTTTCTGTGTGGAATCCTGGGAATACAGAGGACAGGGACATCTCTTTGGTGGGTTCCCATGACTGGATCCATCTGTAGGAAACACACACACACTGACTGAATCCATTGTTTCTATGTGTTTATCAGATGATGGGGGATCTAGGTGGATCCTCCGTACTGCTCTCTCCTTTACAATAAAGTCTCCTCTTACCCGGTGATGTGAGGGGCGGCTGATTGTCCATCATGACGTCCTTGTAGAGATCCTTGTGTCCTTCTAAATACTCAGTACCAAACCAAAGTAATAAACAACAGTACACCTTCACACCGCCTACTTTCCATTCTCGCTCGCATGTTTGCAGGCCCCCCTTCCCATTTTACTACCGCGCCTGTACACCCCCCTCTTAAAACTGTGCCTGCTACTTACTCTAGTCTACACTCTGTAGACATACCCTTAGCTCCCTTGTTCCCGCTACTTTCTCCTCTAACCCCTGTGCCTTTAACCCTACTCTCAACAATGGACCTGTTTACGCTTTCCCCTACCAACATCTTATTACCTCCTCTACTACCAGCTTCAACAATGTCTCCTCTGTACTTCCTCCCAACTCAACCGTCCCCCGGAAATTCCTGTTTCTAAATGACATCACTTCCTGTATATACCTTTTTATTATTTCCTGTCTGTGTGTGTGTGTGTGTGTGTTCCACGTTAAAGTGACATCACCTTCTTGTTGAGAATATAAATCCTGCCCTCTACGTTCTGCGGCCCATTATATACATTATTCCACACAGATTATACCTGAGCTAAAACTCAGACATTAAAAAAATAATTGAGATACAACATAATGCACATGACACTCACCGGCCACTTTATTAGGTCCACCTTGCTAGTCCCAGGTTGGACCACCTATTGCCTTCATTCTTGGTGGCATAGATTCAACAAGGTGTTGGAAATGTTCCTCAGAGATTTTGTTCCATATTGACATGATGGCATTACTCAGTTGCTGCAGATTTGTTGGCTGCACATCCATGAAACGTTGATACAGGGCAGGATGGATCCACCACACCATGACACCACCAGCCTGAATCGTTGATACAAGGCAGGGTGGATCCTCCACACCATGACACCACCACCACCAGCCTGAACTGTGGATACAAGGCAGGATGGATCCACCACACCATGACACCACCACCACCAGCCTGAACTGTGGATACAAGGCAGGATGGATCCCCCACACCATGACACCAACACCACCAGCCTGAACCGTTGATACAAGGCAGGATGGATCCCCCACACCATGACACCACCACCACCAGCCTGAACTGTGGATACAAGGCAGGATGGACCCCCCACACCATGACACCACCACCACCAGCCTGAACCGTTGATACAAGGCAGGATGGATCCACCACACCATGACACCACCAGCCTGAACCTTTGATTCAAGGCAGGATGGATCCATGCTTTCATGTTGTTTACACCAAATTCTGACCCGCGCCCATCTGAAAGTCGCAGCTGAAATCCAGACTCATCAGACCAGGCAACATTTTTCCAATCTTCTATTGTCCAATTTTGGTGATCCTGTGCGAATTGTAGCCTCCGTTTCCTGTTCTTAGCTGACAGGAGCTGCACCCAGTATGGTCTTCTGCTGCTGTAGCCCATCTGCTACAAGTTTAGACATGCTATGCCTTCAGAGATGGTATTCTGCATACCTTGGTTGTAACAAGGGGTTATTTGAGTTATTGTTGCCTTTCTATCATCTCCAACCAGTCTGCCCATTCTCCTCTGACCTCAAGGAGACATTTTACACCACATAACTGCCACTCCCTGGATATTTTCTCTTTTTGTGCATTCAGAGATGGTATTCTGCATACCTTGGTTGTAACGAGTGGTTGAGTTACTGTTGCCTTTCCATCATCTCCAACGAGTCTACCCATTCTCCTCTGACATCAACAAGGTATTTTCCTCCAAACACCTGGATATTTTCTCTTTTTCGGACCATTCTCTGTAAACCCTAGAGATGGTTGTGCAAGAAAATCCAAGTAGATCAGCAGTTTTTGAAATACTCAGATCAGCCCGTCTGGCACCAACAACCATGCCACTTTCAATGTCACTTAAATCCCCTTTCTTCTACATTCTAATGCTCGGTTTGAATGTAAGTCGTCTTCACCACGTCTAGATGCCTAAATGCATCGAGTTGCTGCCATGTGATTGGCTGATTAGCCATTTGTGTGACCAAGCCATTGAACAGGTGGACCTCATAAAGTGGCCAGTGAGGGTATATGTATATTTTTTCATTGTTATTAACATCATCGCCAACATAAATGGTACTCACTCCTTTATTGTCACACGCAAAGTAAACACCCCTCCCTTGTAAGAATAAATACATAACGAAACACAAAAATACTTTGAAAGAACTTTATTAGTTATAATGATGGTGACACCGAAGAATGAACAGCAATTAAAATAATGATACAAAGAATTCTAACTAAAAAAACTGATCACCCAGAATGTAACT